ACCAAAGACAAATCTGCACTATCATCATCATTATGACGAATATTCAATTTGCCGTCAAGTTCATCATTTTCAAACTCTTTAATAACAGAAGTAGACAATTTTGGTTCCTCCTCACAAATCATTAGAGGTTTTACACCTTCACTCTGACTAGTAATACTTTGTAAACTTGTGGAGTCAGAACTGTCCTCTGAGACTGTAACTCTCCTCTGCGACGCTCTATTGAACAATGGCTTACCAGTTGCGACTAGTGACTTCTTGACCGCACCGTTATCGTCACACAATTCGGAGTCAGGCCTTGATTTCACATTTAGCTTATCAATGAACTTGCTCACTGGTTCACAGTTCACCTTTGTATGCACCTCTTGCAAACGTGTAAAACACAACCGTGTTTGTCTTGCATCTTGTAACTTATCTGTTGAGGATGTACCACGAAACCTGTTACACTCACTAGGTCTATATGCATTACTAGACATCATGGAGCCTTCTCGATATCCACCTCTCTGAGGCCTGTTCGTCATCAATGATTGCGTTTTACCCTCAGACTGCTCTATTCTAAGGGTGAGATTCAATATACTGGCAAACTTGCTCATAGATTCATTGACACTATTATTTACCAGTTTCAGGATATCATCAAACTTTGGCTCGATACCCTCATCCTCCATACGGGAGCTTATCTTCACCCACTTCCTTTGCAGTCGAGTAGGTAGGCGTCTTGCTATTACTTCTAGGATAAAACCCGAGTTGAGGTCACTCATTCAATTCATCAAAATCAATGCATTCTTGTAAGTCAACAGATTATTATTTTTTATTTATTTTTTTTATTTTGATTACAGCTTGATTCCACACCGTAATTTTGAGACAAGTGTGGAATTTTCAGCGTGGATATCGGTAGCCCAAAATTCGCAGGCCGACCATAGATATCAGGTGTGCGCCGGCGTGGGCTCGAACCCCGGACCATATGCATGGTCGGCGAGAGTCCTAACCACTGTGCCACCGACGCAGTGAGTGCCTTGGAGTCATCTCGTAAATGACCACCATTGCCCTTAACAGCCTCAAATAATTTCCCTGTAATCGTCGAAGGTCTTCCAAACCTTTGACGTAGTATGCACATAGCCTCGTAGTAGCCCTCTTTTGGCTTCATAAACCTACAGCACTGTATAGCTCTTGAAGCAACTCCAGTGCAGTACCTCATCAAAAACATTAACTTCAATTCATAATTTAATAGAAAACTACTCAGTATGATCTCAAACTCCTTTACAAATTGTAAATAATCAACTGGGTTTCCGTCGAAACACCGTGGTTCGAATTCAGGGAGTTTGATGTTCCTATTATTCCTACACGGCGAAACAGTAACATCAACCATGTCATGTTTAACATCAGACACATCGTTACAATTAACAGACAAGTCACCATGATTTACTTTCCTGTTTACATCCAAGACGCTCTGTCCCTTCTTTGACCGAGGCATTTTTGAACTTGACCCAATCGCAAAAAAGTTCCAGATATTGCTTGTTCAAAGAGGACTTGGCCGGCAACGGGAAAGATGATCGGTGACTATCCAAACTGTCACCAACTGTCTGAAGCCATCAGAATGTCTTTCCAGCGTCAGAAACTGACTTCCCTGTCAGAGACTGTGATGCACCTCTCGTTAACCGTGGATGCCCAGCTCTTGCTACACTGGGACTCACGCTGTTCCTTGAAGTTTCTCAGAAAGGTTTAGTGATAACGGACGCAAAACCAGAACACCGATTGGCTACTCGAGAATTCTTTATTGTAACACCAGTATATCCAACTTTAAAATTAAGCTTTAACTAAGTTCTATGAACAAATATTACAATAATAAATCACAATATTACTTCTGACAGTTTTGGTCTCTTTTCTTTCTGAACAGCGATCGATGAGACGATGACTGGTGTATTGATGCCTTCGCGAAAATTGGGGAAGTTGATTTCGAGCAAACAACCATGAATTGATCGTTCAATCGTCAACTACATTGACAACATCTAAAGGATATATAATATTATTTATCTGCTTACCACCAGTGATTTCCTTAAATAGTTTCCACATATTAGAAGGATTTTTCAGGATGTGAATTTCTGGTTATATATTACATTCAACCTCTGCATTTCAGACTTAATTAAGAAGTTAGTTCTTTTTACACCACTTTTATCTTTCATCTCATATAGTTTTTCCTTCTCTCTACGAAGCTTTTTAAGTTGAGGTGAGGAGAAATGGTCAAATCTGACGAATAGTGTTTCTTTGGGACAACAGATTTCAAAACAGAATTTCAGAAAAGATGTAATATTAGAGATATTGTCATCAAGTGAATCATCATTAAACAAATCTCATCTTGTGTCACTGAGCATGTTGCTAAGATGATGTACGTTCTCATTTGAGTAGCATCTGTGAACAATGGATGTGATTCTCTAGTCAACATCTACGGAATATATCCTGTGTTTCTCTGGTGCGGCCAGAGCTGGTGCTTTTAGGGGTGATGAATCATGTGTAGACTTTGGAGAAGTAATTTGCCACTGGTTCCGCATTTTCCTGATTGTCTTCGGTCCTGTCGTTGTCAGTACTCAGGTTTGTGACCTTGCATATCTTATTCCTTGAAGTTCATTTACAAAAACATTTTCTTCAGCTGCACTGTTGTACTTTCAAACGGATGCATTTCAAACCTCATCCCTGGTTGGAAGATTTTTGAAGAGGATTTGTTCTTAGCAGCAGTGTAAACCGTTCTGGTTTCAGAAGTCTCAAGCACGATAAACAGGTTCCAGCATCTATGCTTATGGCTGAGTAATGTGCCAATCCAAAGGGGAAAACCTTTCGGGGCGACCTGAGTTGTGAAAGGTTGGCTACCCCAAGAGTAAAGCTGTTAGAACTGACCAGACACAGCTCCCACGTGAGACTCTAGATTTAACTGCCAGTCCAGTCATTTGGATACTTAGGGGATAGTATTTACGAAGGGTTCTCAGAGGATTGGACGAGCTGATGTTTTGTCCCGTTCTGCTGCTGTGGACTTAAAGTTGATCTCAGGGTGGTCAGTTCTTCTTGGGAGGGGGGCAGATGATGTATAAGGCCCATAGTCTCACCACGGAAGAAAACCAAGTTCAAGTTTGTGAGGGAGTGCTGCGAGTCATAGCCCGTGGGCTTCCTAACATGTTTGACGTCGGCGAGTTAAATACTAGATTCCAATAGTCTATTGTTATAACATTTATTCTTAGACCTTGTGTGTAATAACCTTATTGTTGGCTATATGTTGGCGTAAAAATAAAGGATTCTCGAGTCGCCAATCTGTGTTCTAGATTTTTCGCGCTGGTTATTACAAATTGTCTGTGAAAGTCTTCCAGGGACAGCGTGAGGTCCAGCGTAGTAAGAGCTGGACATTGACAGCTTCTGAGAGTTGGCTGACAATCTTCATCCAAGGCTTCTCAAGGATCTATCAGCTCACATAGTGTCACCTTTGTCCACGATCTGCAGGCTGTTTCACCTAAATGGAGTGTTACTGAGGGACTAGAGAATCGCCATAGCAACTCACATCCACATAGGGTGATCAAGAAGAAGCCCTTCAAATTGCAGGTCTGTTCAACTTATCAGCACTTTAATCAAGAACCTGAAAAAAAACATGAAGAAAAGTGTCATGGCATATCCGGAAATCAACAATTCGTTATCCAGAGAAGAAAACCTTCATGCCTGTCAATGCTCCTCCTTGCAAGAGAAAGCTGAGTCAATTCAAGGGACAACAGAAGACATGTTGACGTCGTCTTCATAGACTTCAGCAAATCCTTTGACAAAGTACCTCACAAAAGGCATCTCGAGAAGCTGGAAGATCTTGGTATCAAAGGCAGATTACTAAATTGGCTTGGTGATAGGAGGGTTAGAATCAACTTGACACTTTCCATTTGGGCAGCAGTGCGTAGGGAGGTGCCACGAGGAACTGTAACCGGACCTCCCCTATTTATTTGTACATCAGTGTGTTATCTCCGCTCACAGATTCCCCTATACGCAGATGACTTAACAATTCGGAGAGAGCTGAATAGCAACAGTGATACGCTCACGTTGCAGGAGGACCCCGATATATCGTCAGGGGGTCCAGAGAATGGATGCTCCCGATCAATGTGGCGAAATGTGCAACCAAGTACGTCGGATGCGCAAGCATCAGCTCCTACGAACTGGAGGGAATAACACTCCCATTAGCTAAGACTCACTTGGATTTAGGTGTCATGGTTAACCGCGACTTAAAAACCACAGCACACTGTCGTGCTGTGGCTGCAAGTTGTTTCAGATCCTTATGGACGAATCACAGAGCCTTTACTAGAACCGCCAGAGATAAGTTTACCTCCTCCTTGGTGCGGCGGTTAAGACGCTCACTGACCATGCACATGGTCCGGGGTTCGGTCCCCGGCTGACACGCACCCGACATCAGTGGTCGGCCTGGAAAATTTAAGCTACCGATATCACATGCTGAAGATTTCATACTTGTATCAAAAAAACTATATGGAGTCAAGCTATAATAAAATTAAAATAAAAAATAAATACATCTCTGATGAGATCAAGACTGGAAAACCACAATTAGGCAGCATTGTCCTACTCCCGTATTCACTTTGACCGCTTCGCTGAGTTCCCTGTTGCGGATCACTTGATACGTGTCACTTTCACTCAGCCATTTGTTGAATGAAGTTGACAAAGATTCGAAGCACTGCATGCCATAGTGTTGAATAAGTTTTAAAAAAATTACTTAGCGGTCGTCAACACCACTGAAGGTCTTTTCAAAGTTGATGAAGTTGAGGTATAGGTTTGACTCCCAGAAGAATCGGTGTCTGCTTATCCATTGGTTTGGACACGCAAAGAAGTCTATCAGAAAAGGATAAACACAAGCTTCAATTCTTCTATCCTCAACTAATCAATCTGAAACCAGACCGAAAGGTTGTTTTAAACATTCATTCTCCTAGGTCATTCCAGTTATCTAAAATAGCGCTTGATACGCCCTCTTATGGAGTATGAGAAAATCACGAGACTGTTATATCATGAGTGGAATATTTGAAGCCATAGACAACCATATTGTTGCCTTCTTGTCGTTCCCTGCTATTGTATGTTGTTTGATTCTGGTCAAATTTGTTTGGTAAGTACATCTCTATACTGAAGAGGTTTTTATTGTATTTAAAGGGATTACTTTCAGCCTTCTGCACCCTCTAGATCTAGTCTCCTGTCATCGAATGGCGTAGTCAACGGAGGTGCTGCGGATTATGATTGTCCGATTTGTATGGACGCTGCATCTTTTATGGTTGAAACTAACTGTGGTCATCGATTCTGTGGTATGGTTTTTGTTTCAAAGTTACACATGTTTTGATTTCTTTATGAAAGTGAATGCGTTTGTTGATTTTGTGTCTATTTAGGCTCCTTGTCATTTTCCATGAATAAAGTGGGATTTCGCATTATATTCAGTTATAATACAATCTGTCGTGTTTGTCTGTGCTGCAGCACTTTCACTTGCAGAACCATGGTTCTGCAAGTGAAAGTGCTAACCACTGGGGACAACTTCTGTTGGTTTTCAGAGTGTTGTAGTCAGGTGAGGTATATTCCATATCATTTTAGTTTCACATCCACCTCCAAACTTCATTCTGTTAGCATAATTAAACTATTTGCTGCTTGTATGGAGTTTTCAAGAGGTGGTCTTGGTATCCTTAGCATATTTTGACTCGACACTAGTAACTGGTGTGACGTTTCTAGTCCTTTCTTTGGTGCAGACTGAATTTTATCAATCAGGTTTGCAATGTGGCCACCATTCTAGGTTGCTGGACATCACGGTGCGCATTGATTTGATGATATTAGATAGGCCTCACTGATGAGTGCCGACTAGCAGGCACAAGGCTTCCTGCCGATTACCTCCACCATCTAATATCCTTAACATATTCTCATCATCACGTTTCGAAAGCCCTTTTAACTGACCATAGTTCTCAGAATGCTGTAGCTGCAGTCGCACTGGAATGCATCTCTGCTTTTGATTTGGTGCGTTCTCTGAGCTGGGTGATTTTATTGCTAGGCTTGTGTTGTCCTTCTATATGACTTCGTCGGCACGTGCTTTAGTATGAAGTCAACTTATCTGAACTCTACATGGATGATATAGTTTTATCTCTTGACACAACCTTTGTTGTGATTGTTCGTTAATTTGAAACTTTGTCGAGCGGTTTTAGTCACTTGGGAATTCGAACCATTTATTCTTCATTAGTTGGTAGATTTGATGTATAGTAACATGTATGCTAATCGCTAATTCATCTGTGCACCAGGCTTTTAGAATTTTCCAAGCCATTTAAATCACAACCAAATCAAAACTATCCATCTGGGCTACAAACTTTTCCGTATAATTTCAGCTTATGTCTCTGTCTTCAAGGGAGTGACGAATAAATGCCTCTTGATACCTCCATCGTCACTACAGGGTGGTGTTGATTCATTTGTTGATAAAGGTGAAAAAGTTTGCCAAGATGTAATAATGTTCCTTTATCGGACTGGACTTTCTGCTTTCAGCTCTTTCTGCCTTCCAGTTAGCTTATCTTGATCATTTTGAAGCACTGTTGTATCTTTATTAGAGTGGGTGACGTTTAGAATCCTAGCATTCCCTAGGATTCTGGTGTGATAACTAGGGAAAAAGGCATCTTAAAATGGTGCTAAAAGAGAAACCTCATTCATGATCTCTTTCTATTTCAAAGACGCTAGGAGTTTCACTGAGAAATTTATCTACTGTATGTTAAAAGATCACAACACAAGCTATGGAGCCTTTAGAAGAGCATTACACTGAAGGAAATTACTTGTTTTACTGCGTTTTTATTGTGTTATTTACTGTCATGATTCGTAGCATATTTTGAAGATAAGTCTACAGCTGAAAAGTCAAGTAGCTTGGGAAAAAATTTGATACTAAATATAATCACATCTTTTTGCGGACTTTGTTTGGATCATCATGCCTTCTTCATATCCATGTTCTCTTACTGTGCTACTACTGGTTGGAGTGGAGGAACATTAAGAGTAGATTAATTGATGAAAATGCTTGAAATAATTGGTTTCCATTTTATCCGTAGCATTGCACACGCTTGCACTGAAATAAATTGCGGCATACTTAAGGTGCTAGAATAATAAGGTGAATCATCCGGTTCATTTACGATATTTCACTTAATGAAATGTCAAGTCATGAACGAGGCTGTGAAGTTACATTGACTGAGATGGTGAGGGCATGTGTTACGCATGTCTAGCCATCACCTTCGTCGACGGGCAGTGTAGGCTGACAAGGTCAGGTAGGAAACATGGCATCAGTCAATGAAATCCAAAACAATCAGTCTAAGCTACTTCCTGGTTGGGGTCATCGGGACGGTAAACACCAGTGGCTAGAGACAATTGGTGATATGGCTCAAAATCGTTCTCAATGGCTGGCGCAGATGCATCCACTCCTTATGATTTAGAATACCCAATAAATTTCTATTGTTCTCCCTTATTACTAATATTTTTTCTCGTATCTCTGTTTACTGCCTATAATTTGCATTTCTTCTTACTCTCGTTTGCTTTGTGTGCTACATAGAGTGTGGCGACTCAAACTGCTGCACAACGGTGCAAAGTTCTATGTTGAAACCAGTCAGTCAGTCAAGTCATCACTTAGGTTGACATGTGGGTTGAACGCTTACTAAGACTAACAGTGAAACGATGGTACTAATATTTAAGGGCTTTTATTGACAATCTGGGATATTCGCATATTGAATCATGTGAAAAACATGCAAACACCGAAGAAAATTTTCTTTTCGACGATACATTTTCAAATGCTTTTGTATAGTCGTAACTATATTTAATAAAGAATTCATAAGATCAATAAATCAGATACTGGGGGAGTTTGTCCTGAAAAATATATTACTCAACTCAAGGTGTGGTGAAAAAGGGGATACTACTTTACTTTACTTCGGCTATCTCCTACGGGAGGATGAGCCGGCTTCATGAACATCTCGAATCATCGCTGCCCAGGCGCGGTGATCTGATGCAAGGTTTTGCGACAGGGTTATCCAATTCTTGTTCCACAGACGGAGTCCGTAGACGATTTGTAGCCCCAGGCACTCCATATCAACCTTGACTGTACCAAGCCATGTTTTCAGCTGTCCACCCTTGCAACATCGCCAAGATGGAAATGGCGAGGGATTTAGAACTGATTTGACAAGATCGTCATCTGGCCAGCGCAGAGCATGGCCAAACCACCGAAGGTGACGTTGTTGGACCAGTACTGGAATTCGGTTGATGTTGTAGAGAGTTCATGAAGTTTCATGGGATTTAGGTACGAGTGATGTCCCCAGCATCGCTCGGCCTTTTGTTTGAGAGTACGGCTGTAGCCTTTACACAACTGTGACCTACAACGTAGTAGGAGTGGAGTAGGGAGTCCACTATCCATTGGCAGCCGGTGACCGGAGTTCGGTTCATACGCCTTTTTGAATGGGGCCAGACATCCAGGGCATCCAATAAGCCCTTTGTCCATACGTCTACCGGTGAGCTTCATACGCCAGTCGTTGGAGGTTTGGAATCAGGGTTTAGCCATCTCCCCTAGACTGTCATCCAATGGACAGTCAACCCGGTGAAGAGCGCCGGGCATCCGCTTTTGCCCTCTCACTTTGGTGAAAAACACCTCCGCCACGTGAAGGCAGTAAGTAGGACTTCCTCAGGAGAGGCTATGTAAGACGCCCGGTCATATGGGAGCATTTCAAGGGGTGTACGGAGGGGTGGCCAACCCGCAGCGCAAGGCACTCACCCCCCCCCACCATCCTTGGGCTTTGGAGGCTCTGGTTGGATGTCTGGTTGGAAATTCAAAAAAAACTAGCAGAAGTTGGGATGACGTAATAGGTATGAAAAAATGATTAATCCATGCAATTGTATAGGGTGGAAAGATGATAAAGTGTTTTAATAAAATCTATATGGAAGTGCAATGCTATTAGTAAGCAATTATAGAGTAATGATGAAACAAGGTTGTTAATAATAATAAGCTAGCATGTTAAAATGAAGTAAAATTATAGTAAGAACGTTGCTCTGGACATGGTGGAGTGGTGAGTGAGTGTACGTAGTGCTTTCGAATGCAAAGGTCCGGTTTCAGATCTCGAATACCCAATGACTCAGCTGTACATAGATGGCGTATTTGAGGTCTTCTCATGCGATATTGAGGAACTCTGTAAAGCATTGATGCGGAGGTACTCCATGTCCAGAATTGTCAAGGTCTTTGAGGATAGAGTTACTTGTGTGCTTTCTTCTCCTCTGGCTGTCTAACCAGGCTAGACGATGAGTGTTCCATAATACGTTTGCAGACTCAACGTTGCGTACAACTGGTGCATTTTACTCCACACGAACAAGTAAACCGATGAACGCATACATATTTAGGTGGTCAAAAGCGATGTCTTATCCTTAGCGCTTTGCCGACTGCATAAACTGTCTGCTAAAGAATGTGGTGCGTGGAGTGGATACTTGAAATATATATATATATGTATATCGTAATTATATTTATATATTTATGCTTAAATATAAATACGATTGCACAGCCTGTGGGAATGAATTACCGAAAAGAGAATTTTCTTTACTGTTAACGTTTTTTTCTTATGAATCTGGGACATGTAGGGTTTCTTGGTTTGGGTTATCTCCCCTCTGGGAATTCCTGTCGGTGTTTCTGGTTGGTGTAGCTTCAAAATGATCGAAAAAGCATTATGATATTAGGTATTCTGTCTGTTCCTTGTAGTCTCCTGGCGTGGTGTGTCTTCCTATTACTGATTTTTGTTTGTCTTTCGTCCAGTTTTCATGTGTAGCATACACAGACAGAATTGTTACGCAGCAGTGATAGTCTCTACTTTTGGTAATAGATGTTTACGTGGTAATACGGTCTTATTTTGATTTAGTTCTGTTCTCTGAGGAGGGGCTGCCTGTAGACTTAATAGCGAAGCACTTTCGTTGTCTCCCATCTACACAACATTCCCCTTCAGAACAGCTTTTAGTATGAAATAAACTCGTTTGAATTCGTCATGAATGATATAATTGCATCTCTTGACAGACAACTTTTGTCGTGATTCGTTGTTAATTTAAGTCTCTGTTGGCTATTTTTATTCACTTCGAATTCCAACTCTTGTTCGTATGACGGCTTGAGGTTAAACACTTCTTGATAAGATTGTGTGTGTGTGTGTTAAAACAGTTAATGGTAGGTATTTTTCCTACATTCTCTTCATCACCGGACGGCTATAGTGTATTTCAACTCTTCTAAACAATGTCCCCACACAGTTTCTTTCATGAGGCACTACTCGCTGGGTTATTGCTCTTAAAGTTGAATATTTGATTTGCGTGTTTGTGTGTGTGTGTGTTTGTGTGTTGATTTTCCACCTACTTGTGTTTTTAAATTTCCTGTGTTAGTTCTCTTGATTAAGACCTGCAAGAACGAGACTTCGTTGTCTAATTCTTCTTCTTCTCTTGTAAATTAACCACCACTCACCACGACAATCCTTGTCAGGAGGTGGATACAATCATATCATCATTCATGGAGAGAGAATTCAAATTAAGTCATTGCTTACCAAAACCTGTACTGTAGAAGGTGTTTTCTAGATGGGAGACAACAACGGCGCTTCACAATTAAGTCTACAAACAGCCCCTTTTAGGAATACACAACTAAATCAAAATCATCTACGTGAACTACAAATTTACTTTGTGCCGTCGTATTGTTGTTATACGTAACAATTTATCGAATTTCATATAGTATTTTCTATGACTAATATTCACGACTGTATTTCACGTTTTTTGTTTTTAGCTGAGTGCTTCACAGCACACTGGAAACGAACAATCTATTCACGTGTTATATCTTGCCCAATGTGTCGTGGACAAGTAAGCAGTAAATAGCTAGTCGAAAATTTGTGGGCGACAGTAAGGAGTCGATATTGCGGTCAAATGACCTTGAACCAACCAGTCAGGTCTCTCAGCATCACAAATGGATCCTTTTCATAATCTGGGTTGGAAGTTTCCCTCCTACCCTGATCTTCGTTGATTCAGAATGAAACTTGAAACGAAGGATATTTGAAAAGCATCCTTTTGTAATGCTGAGTAGCAATTTGATTGGTAGGTTCAGCGTCATTTGACTGTGGTGTCTATTCTTTACTGTAGTCAAATTTATTTTTCTCATTATCACTTGATAAATACTTCTTTCCTCCTTCAAAGTTCATGTATGATCTACAAAAAATATCTTACAGTTTCTCACCTTGTGTTTTGTTTTATAATTTCATTACAACTACAATCAATTCTCATATTATAAATTTAGTTTGTAAAGTGACTCCTAGTTATACCTTGTGTAACCACTTTCTATGATATTCATTTGCACCGTGCATATGTGTATTTCAAAATCTTAATGTTACTAAAAATAAGAAGTTATTTGATGAAGTAAAAGTAGGTAGATTATTTAGCACATTAGATAGAAATATGTTCATTGCTTATCTAAAATTCATTAATGCCTCTTTTATGAACACTAACCACTGCGTTCCAATTGAAGAAAGTTGGTTTAGTTAGTCCAGTTACACAAGAAATCAACCAAAGCATAGAATGTTGCAGTCAAACCTATACCTCAACTTCATCAACTTTGAAAAGACCTTCAGTGGTGTTGACGACCGCCAAGTAATTTGAAAACTTATTCAACACTATGGCATGCAGTGCTTCGAATCTTTGTCAACTTCATTCAACAAATGGCTGAGTGAAAATGACACGTATCAAGTGATCCGCAACAGGGAACTCAGCGAAGCGGTCAAAGTGAATACGGGAGTAGGACAATGCTGCCTAATTGTGGTGGACTGGATTATGCGTCACACCGTGAGTACGGACTGACAAGACAGGAATGCTTTGGACCGATAAGAAGACTCTAGAAGATCTGGATTTCGTGGAGGACTATCTATGTTCAGTGACACGAATTCGGAGACTCACAAGCGAAAAGCAACAAACTGGCAGTAGAAGCAGTCAGCAAAGAGAGGATTTCAGGTCAACATAAAGGAGACGGAGGTGATGAAGATAACCAACCAACAACAACAACAACAACCTTCGCCGGCTGGCTAGAAAGAATTAGCAACAAGAAGATGTGGAAACAAACTAACCAAGAACCCATCTGTCAAAAAATATGTAGGAGAAATTGGAGATGGGTTAGACACACGCTGAGGAGACTGTTAAATGGTATAACGCTCAATGTTGGCCATCAGTGGAGTGTCACTTTAATGGGGAACGACGAGTTGAGTGTTCCTCTGAGAGTGATATAGAGGAGATAAGTGACTATGAGTAATCGTGGGGCCAGCTAAAGAGGACCGCAGAGAATAGGACAAAGTGGAGATGTTCCACTCAGAACCCAAAGGAACAATATTAATACAGAAGATCTCAAGGTTGCTTTATCAAGATGAATTGGCCAAAGATTTGTAATACACTTGTTTCTTATGCAAATAAAAATTGTACTACCAACTTCTAATAACCATTTTTTATATTCTTCCAAATGATAAGTCATACCGATAGCAAATACTTCTCAGCAGTCTAAATCTCAAAAGTTTAATGGGTATTCAAAACTGTGTGACAAGTGTAGACACAAAAAACACTTTCAGCTCTATTCATGGATGATAGAAATTATAAGTTACACAGGAGTTCACAGGTTAAGTAGGCATAATAGTTTGAAGTAGTATAGAGTATAAGAGTGTTTGTCAAATTCCTATTCTATAACATATCTGTATACCATCTTCACACATATCTTAATGCAATCATCCCATTCATGTGCTGTCTTATTAAGCAAATACCAGGAGTATTTTTTTAGTGAAGTGTTGGTTTACAGGAATTTGATTGGTTTCAGGATTTCATCATGAATTGATATTGGTTAGACGACTATTGGAAAGCTTAGGCGTACTGGACAGTTGTTTCATCTTAGTTTGGGGCTCTTCATCGGCACCCACTCACTGCCACTGTTCGAACCCAGGACATTCTGGTTACAAGGCGAGTTTGTAAACTGTTAGGCCACTGCGACCCCATCCATTCTTCCATGAATTTCAACTTCTTCCAATGCACGATATGGTGCGACCGCTGGCGAATTTTATCTGCGAGTATTTGTCCTCACACCCGACCTACTGTACCCCACTGGTCATGATTTCTGATTCTTATAGTCTTTGACTGTCATATTAAAAGTTATCTGATAGATTTCTTTTTTCCTGAGAAAGCTTTTACGTTATTCGTTCGAAATGTATGATGGTATCTATATTGCTAATCAATAAGCAATGTACTTATGAGGTCATTATATTATCATTCAGAAAAATGTATACATCAATGTATCCAAGCAATAAGTTTTTGATTTGATTTGTGTACTGTGAGGATGGGCTGGCTGTAGATTTAATTACAAGACTTTTGATGCCCCCTCGCCTCATCTAGGCAACATCGCTTCATCGCAGCTTTGCAGTATGAAATGAAATTATTTGAATTCTCTCTCCATGAATGGTGATATAATTGCGTATCTCTTGACAGACAACCTTTGTTAGTTTACATCTATCTCTCTTGATCATTTTTATTATTGACTTGGAATTTGAACTTTGTTACTATGTGATTTGTTTTTTGTTTTATTAGCTGGTAAATTTGGTCTATAATAGCGTGTTTTTTTTATCGCTGCCTGATTGATTTGAATAACAGGCTTCTAAAAATCCCCTAACTGCATTTTAGGTGTGTTACCTCTATTTAAGATTTCTGCATTATCTCAAACAAACTGGTGTCCGTAATTATCTACATGAATCGATTTGAAAGGGGAATGCATATCCAGTGCTTTGTTTTCACTTTTGGTTTCCTTTTATCTTCATCCTGACAGTTTTAGCTACAATAATGTTTCATGATTTCAAGCCTCCATTCTAGCATACTTTCAACACTGTCAAAGTTTCTACCTATATTATTCTGATTTATCATTAGAAGTAGTAATGATATTATTTGCCTTCTCAAGGTTATATTGTGGTGAGATCAGGCCGTGAGAAAATATGAGCAAGGCTGATTCAACAACCAATCACAGCAAAGTTAACGTGGCAAAATATGATTCGCAGATGGAGAACTCTATTTGTCGAGTAATCCCGAAGAAACCAATCAGAAGCCTGCGTTTGTCTGCCTAACTTCTGATAAACAACCAATCAGATAACTGCGCTTGTCTACTTGCATAAGCTATAAAAATGTATGTGAAATATGTATAAATACGTGTTGATTTTCATAATAAAACGATCTGTTGCCTGGCCCTTGTCTTCTGTTGTTACATTTGGTGTCGCTGCCTACCGACAAATGGAAAGCCTATGCCCTGCTGTTTTTGATGGAGACATATGGATCTTCGGGCAGGACTTCAAGGCCTCTGCGCAGTTGAGTGGCGTTCAAGATCTGTCAGCGATGGAGCTGCTACTTGTGACGCTGCTGGGAGGTCGGGTGAAAGCAGCATATGAAAGTGTGAGACGAAATACTGACGAATGTTCGACAGGGTCAGGCAAACAGTTTCCAAAGTGGGAAGGACCACACATGGTCACTTCGAGATGGGATCACGCAGACACAATCGCAATGACGAACAATGAGAGGCGCGTGAACGTCAGCGAGCTCCAGAAATGGATACAGCGAGACAAGCCAACGATGACGCCTGCACCAAGTAGATCAAGCCGACTTCAGTCGCACGTATTTGACGGGGGGACGAGTGTGGTGAGAGCAGGCCGTGAGAAAATATGAGCAAGGCTGATTCAACAACCAATCACAGCAAAGTTAACGTGGCAAAATATGATTCGCAGATGGAGAACTCTATTTGTCGAGTAATCCCGAAGAAACCAATCAGAAGCCTGCGTTTGTCTGCCTAACTTCTGATAAACAACCAATCAGATAACTGCGCTTGTCTACTTGCATAAGCTATAAAAATGTATGTGAAATATGTATAAATACGTGTTGATTTTCATAATAAAACGATCTGTTGCCTGGCCCTTGTCTTCTGTTGTTACAATATAACTCCACTTCTTTCACCTTCACGTACTGATCATTTCATGGATGAGCTATTCATCACATCAGGCTGACTATCATCTCCTCGTCAATGGGTGTTGCTTTCTACCAGCCAGTCAGTCACTCACCAAACACCTTTCTCAACCTTCAGCTGACTTCTCAGATTTCATTGTCCACATAGTAAGAATCTTTTATGACTAGACATGATTATCGTCTTGCATTTTCAATTATTTTGTAATTCCGTTTAGCCTAGAAAGTTAAATTAGAAAAGTTAACATTACAGGATCGATAATGACAGTTTTTGATTTTGGTGGCAATAAAGTTAAAAATGTACAAAAAGCGTAAAATCTTAATAGTAATAATAATAATAATGTTAACAGTTAAAATCGTAAGTTGATTTAAATAGTGTTTTATGTATATATTACAAGTAGGAGAGAGAGAGAGAGAGAATAAAAGAACCGATTATTTTGCTAATAATAACAGACTAAGTCGTAGGTAGGTTTCTCGCTCAGCTTAACATTGTCTCCATCACATAGGACGTGGGTGGACCAAATATGGTATCGTTGAGTTTCTGTATTTGCTTGTTAGTGGATATAATCTTTTACAATGACTTCTAGTCTCCTACCTGATGATGAGATGCAAGGCAGGGGTAAGTAGAGAATAGAGAGGGTGTTTCAGGATGTTCAGACAATATGGATTTACACCATTTATCACATGAGCTCAAGTGAATAACAAGCTAAACTAAGTACACCACTTGCCCTACTGACAACTTTTAATACCCTGTGCAATATGAAATAGTCCTTTTTCAGTAGCCAAGGAAAGACTAAGGGAAAGCAGCAGAGAACAACAGGTAAGATGCAAGAGTAGTTAAGAGACAGGCGGCGGCGGGGGGGGGTTATAATTTAGTATCCCTCGAATAAAAAATCTAAAGAATACGTTTATTTAAAAAATTGTGTACACAACAAAAGATGAAACACTTATTGTTTCTTCTCATTGGCATATGAGGTGATATGCGGTGATTGTTTTCAATTTTCTTGTTTTTAATTTTGCAGACGAAATTACAGTCTGAACTTTTGAGATTTGCAATTTAGGAGTTAATTTAATTAATTAACTAATCACAATCTCTGAAGTGCGTGATACTATAAATGACAATCAAGAAAGCCAGGACAAATGTATGATGCTAAATATTACTGATTAATAGAGATGAGTAGTAGTTGAACACTAGTCATATCGACTAGTAGTGATGCTTGTCAGACAACCAGATCAAAGTGATCTAAACACGTTGGACGATCGTTTCACTCATCTGACTCTTATTCCATTCAGCTAGATTTAGCATCATTCAAACATGTATTTTGACGCATTCCGTATGGGAATTAGTATATACTGATTTGTGGTGATAAATTTCGAGGTTCAGTGATCTGAATGGTATACAATACGATTTTAGTCTTCTTTGTGGAAAGGGAATTGTGATATATATATCGTCCTTACAACGTATTATATTATTGTTTCCTATAGTTCCTAGAGGAACATAGGGCTTCAGCCGCACGTCTCCATTGCGTTCGGTTCTCTGTCAACGTTCTCACCTGGCTCCCCATCTGCCAAAATGCTTTCATCTCCTCTTCACATGACGTCCTACATGTCACCCTCGAAAGACCAACTTGCCACTTCCCATTCGGGTTCCACTCGAGATCCTGGCGTGTGGTGTCACTTGGTGTTTTTCTCAGTGTATGGTCCATCCACCTCCATTTCTTCTTGCATATTTGCTGCAAAGTTGATTCCTGCTGGGTCGGTTCGCTCCCTGAGATCCCTGTTGCTAATCTTTTCTGACCGGCAATCTGGTCTTGAGTAGTATTGAGCGAACACAGCTGTTGGTGAAGGTCTGTAGTTTGTTCAAAGTGCTCTTCGTGACGCGCCATGTCTTTGATCCGTATAGTAGCATGACTTCAATTTGCAGTTGAAAATGTGCATCTTGTTTTTCATGCTGAGTGCTGTTGATCTCTACACAAACTTGAGGAAAATGAAAGCTTGCTTTGCTTTTTCGATCCTTGCTTTCATGTCCTCATCATTTCCGTCTGTAGTTGAAACGTTACCCAGGTGGGTAGAGGAGACTACTTATTTCACATTTCTTCCAGTTATGTTAATCATTGTCTGTTGGCTAGGAATCTTCATCACCTGTGTTTTCTGTACGTTCACCTGAAGTCCTATCTTTGATCCTTCTTCTGTCAACTTGTTGCTTTCCATTTGCATATCTTCCAGTTTGTGGGAGATCAGACATATATCACCGGCGAAGTCCAGATCCTCCAAGCATATTGTGTAGGTCCATTCTAGGCCTCTCTCCTCGCTGTCTATCGCATTATCCAATCTACCGCAATCAGGAAAATCATTGGAGATAATAGGTAGCAAGCTTGTCCGACTCCTGTCTTCACTTCGAAAGATTCCGTGAGGTCTCCGCTGTGGACTACTTAGTATGCAGCATTGTCGTAGAACTGTTGGATGAGATGTGTAGTTGTTGGTGGTACCATGTAGTGGCGAGGCAGTTGCCAAATCACCTCTCGATCGACGCTACTGAAGGCTTTTTCAAAGTCAATGAAGTTGAGATAGAGAGCTGACTGCCATTCCAAGCTTTGTTCAGTGATGATACGTAGTGTTGCGGTTTGATCGATGCATGACTTGAATCCAGCTTGTTTCGGTCGAAGTTTTTCATCCAGGGTAGCGTGTTTGATTCTCTCCAGGATGATGCGGCTTAGTATTTTGCCTGCTGCCCCAGTTCTTGCGTTGTCTTAAGTCTCCTTTCTTTGGCAGTTTAAATAGGCAGTATTCTTTCCAATCCTCAGATACCTTGCCCTCTTTCCACACCTCCAGTAGTGTTATCATCAACTCCGCTGATGTCTCTGGGTCGATTTTCAATGTTTCTTCTGGGATTCCGTCTGGTGCTGCTGCTTTCCCAGTTTATTAGCATCCTTACTGCCTTCAGGATTTCTGTTTTCATCGGAGGGTTGATGTCCACTGGTAGTCCTGCTTCCGCTGTTGCTATTATTGGGCGCGGTGTATCCGGTTTATTACTTCATTGGATATCGACTATATCTGCCACATGATAAATAATAAATCATAATCCTTGAAAAATCTCATCTCTTTGGAGATAAGGATAATCCCGTGACTCAGTAGACGTAAGAAGGTAGAAACTGACTGACTGGCTGGTTTCAACATAGAACTTTACACAGATATACACCAGTTACACTTGTCACTCCCCATGCTGCATGTAGACCACAAAACAACAGAACAGAGTAAAGAGAGATTCAAAACAGGCAGAAGAGATAATAAACACAAGTGTGAATGGTGGGAAAAGAATAGAAATATGGTGGAAGGTCAATAGATTTTTATTGAATATGACAAATAAATGACGGAGAGTGAATGCATCTTCACCATCATTGACAACGACAGCTTTGAACTATATCACAATCCATGTCGCCAGTCCCCACTGGTTCTTAATTTCATCTCGAGGACCCCAACCGGTCAGTCAACCAGCCAGTCTACACCTCCCTACGTGGCTGGCTGTTTCAAACTAACTGTTATGGCTTTCATTGGCTGATGGAGCTAGCCATATTTTCGATTGACCACCACGATGTGTTACCTAGTTTTTTTCCAACCTGACACCACTTATGTCAGATTTGCGGAGCCGGTGTACTTATCAATATCATGCTGTGCTGTAGGTGTACAATTTAACCTCTTTCAAAATTTATTATTATTATCATTAGGCGTCGAGTGCTAGGTAAGAAGGGGAAATCAATCGATGAAACTATGAAATTACATTGACTGAGATGGTTAGGGCATGTGTTACGTATGCCTAGCCATCGTCTTCCTCGACAATGGGCAATGTTAGGTAACATAGGATCAGACTGGAAAAGAGCTGGCGGCGGTCAAACCAAAACATGGCACCAGTCAGTGGAATCTACAACAGTTAGTTTAAGTCAGCCACGTAGGAAGGTGTAGACTTCCTGGTTGGGGTCCTCGGGACGGTAAAAACCAGTGGCTCGCAACAATTGGTGATATAGCTGGCGCAGATGCATCCACTCCTTGTGACTTATGATTTCAAATGAAACTATATCGCCCTTCGTTATTACTATTTCTTTGTCTCACACCTCTGTTTACTGTCTCTATTATGCATTTCTTCTACTCTCTTCTCTTGCTTTGTGTGCTGCAAGGAGAGAGTGTGGCGACTTGAACTGGTGCACATCGGTGCAAAGTTCTATATCGAAAACAGACAGACGCATTATCATTCCCAAGAATTGGTTTGTGCGGATTTGTTTTGTTTTTGAAGTCTGATCAATTAGAGAATCACTGAAAATCATCCGGTTCTGAACAGCTGTTTTGTCCTAGTTTAGGGTTGATTGGCAGTATGCATCATCCATCGGGTTTTGAACCCAGGAAAGCTCGTAAACCATCCAACTACTGGGACCTGACTCAGTTGCCCATGAATTCTAACTTCTACCAATTCGTGGTGTTTCAGCGTGATGACCAGCCAATGCCATCGGCGAGTATTTGTCCTCACTCCCGACAGGAATGGACCCCATGGGTCTTATCGCTATGTGACAATAATTATTTTTTACCCTCTACTCCTACTAGTATACACAATCAACCTATATACTCACCATTTATCCCTGTTACTATTATCATGGTGATCACGTAGACTGTTAACCATTTATTCACCTCCCTGAACTCTGATCGCATGTATATTTTATTAACGACATTAATTCAAATACCTTTGACTAATATTTTTTTTTATGTAAATGTAAAGCCTGATACGAATTTACGGAAAAATACCTATTTGCTTGCTTAAATCGTGTTGTATATCATTATCATCGTTATAGGAATATTTACATTGCCCCCTAGCATGCGTCATCTTTTCATATACTACCCTCTTTAAATTTATTTTAGGTGACCACATTGACGAAGTTGTTCACACCAGAAGAATTAGAGGAAACAAGTAGCAGTAGCAGACGCTCACGAATTGAAGCAGATATAAGACTGTTCAATCGTTGGCATTCTGGAGAGCCTATATCTGTAAGTTTGTTTCTGTTTTTTCTTCATTTGTATTTTCTGTGGCACTGTGTAAATTAAAGAGTTAAAATAGATATTCCAGGTTATTTGAAATAATGGAGGAAGATTTGTAGCCCAGGTAGATGATTTTGATTTAGATAAAGCAATAAGAAGACGTAATTTGTCTGAATCGTGTAATGTATTTGCGCAACACATTTCGAACAATCTGATCACACACGGACTTGTCATAGGAATATATATTATAAAAAATTAATAAAGAGGTAAGAGGTGAGAAAAATAGACTTAGGTCAAGTTAAAAGGACATATTCAAGGTCAAAAAATAAAAATGAAGACCACTAAACCAAATAGCAGAGGTAATAGTACATCTGCTATGGTATCAAAACAAAATTTACCAAGGAAGGTTTAATGTGATGACAAATTGTTTTTGAACGCATAAAGGTGGCTTGAACTTTCTAATTGCTAGGGCTTCTACAAACTTTAGGATACGCCCCAAACACGTTTTATAGATAGGTTTAAAAGATCTGTTAACATCAATTTTATGACCTGTCTCTATAATATGTTTCGCAATAGAAGAGCTAGGTCTCCTGTTCTCACCGTTAATAGGTTCTGATGATTCCATTTGTTTCTGGAGCCATTTTGGAATATGCTCTGAAGCCCTTACTTGCAGAGATCGATGAGTCCTCCCTATGTATGTGTGTCCACACGTACATTCAAATTGGTAAATACAGTGGGATGTGACGTCATTTTTCGCATGTTCGAAGGGCTTAGATAGATATAATGGCTTTACATTCTCTAATATTATGATATTAGCTGCATAAAAAGTCTTTTTAACAGCAGCGTTCAGCCTTTGTCTAGTTATCAAGCTGCTTTGATGTCCCATATAGGGTAGCTTGATGTACACGTCTTTCTTAGGGGCGAGTTGGAGAGTGGGTCTTGGTGTTCTGACTACTTTATATCTCCTGATGAACTTTTCTGGATAATTGTTATCAACCAGAGTTTGTGTCAATATTCTTTCTTCTTCATCAAGCGTGTCTTCAGTGCATATTCGTCGGATTCTACTGAAGAGGCACCTTACTAAGCCTCTTTTGTACCGAATAGGGCAGAAACTGTGGTAATTAAGATACTGTCCTGTCCAGGTAGGTTTTCTATAAATAGATCTTTTTATTGACCCATCAAGCCGTCGACTAAGCAATATGTCTAGGAAAGATAAACAATTATCTTCCTCTTCTACAGATGTAAGTGATATGCTATTCTGAACTTCATTCATTCGATTTAAAATTGAGGTGGCAGAACAAGGCTTATCACTGATGACTACGATATCATCTACATACCTTCTATAAAGTGAACTTTTAAAGAGAAGGCTCCCTCCACACACTATCAAAAAGGGGCTGTTTGTAGACTTAATTGTGAAGCGCCGTTGTTGTCTCCCATCTAGAAAACACCTTCTACAGTACAGGTTTTGGTACGCAATGACTTAATTTGAATTCTCTCTCCATGAATGATGATATGATTGTATCCACCTCCTGACAAGGATTGTCGTGGTGAGTGGTGGTTAATTTACAAGAGAAGAAGAAGAATTAGACAACGAAGTCTCGTTTTTGCAGGTCTTAATCAAGAGAACTAACACAGGAAATTTAAAAACACAAGTATGTGGAAAATCAACACACAAACACACACACACACACAAACACGCAAATCAAATATTCAACTTTAAGAGCAATAACCCAGCGAGTAGTGCCTCATGAAAGAAACTGTGTGGGGACATTGATTAGAAGAGTTGAAATACACTATAGCCGTCCGGTGATGAAGAGAATGTAGGAAAAATACCTACCATTAACTGTTTTAACACACACACAATCTTATCAAGAAGTGTTTAACCTCAAGCTGTCATACGAACAAGAGTTGGAATTCGAAGTGAATAAAAATAGCCAACAGAGACTTAAATTAACAACGAATCACGACAAAAGTTGTCTGTCAAGAGATGCAATTATATCATTCATGACGAATTCAAACGAGTTTATTTCATACTAAAAGCTGTTCTGAAGGGGAATGTTGTGTAGATGGGAGACAACGAAAGTGCTTCGCTATTAAGTCTACAGGCAGCCCCTCCTCAGAGAACTCAGCTAAATCAAAATATTTCAAATTATCCGGTAAGATCCCATTTTTCACTCTAATTTTAATAAATATTGTATCACAGCTTAAAATGTTTTCATTGCAGTTCTCTCTTTTAAGTAAAGTGAGAATATTTCAGTGATTACAATTGCTTAAAATCCATGTACATAAACATCAATGATTGATGTGCATTGCCTGAGAAACTGAAGTCAACAAAATTTTGTTTACTGTCATCTTACATGTTTGGTTTAAGTCTTGGTTTCAAAATGCAAGGCAGGAAATATTGTTAAATTTCCCCATCATAATCAAACAGTTCATTAAGGAGAGGTAGCGTCCACTGACAACGACTCAGAAAGCGTATGGAATGCATCGATGGTTCAGTGGTAGAAGGCTCTCAAGTCACGCCACACGTGGTCCCTGTCCACTGACATTCTCTTCGAACCCGCTAAATCGATAGTAAGACCGATTAAGAAGAAAGTTTAAGCAAGCGGGCTAGCAATCCCACGCCGTAAAAATCAACAACACTGTACTACTGAAGCTTCTAAGCTCTAGCTTGAATCCCTATGTTACACTTGGAACTTGAAGGAATAAAATAGGAATAATAATAATAGTAACAAAATTGGACTATTATAGGGCCTCACGAAGTCAGAGTATAATGTATAAAGTATTAGAGAAGATTTGTAACTCAGTTGAGTATTTTTCGCGTTGCTGTGTTGTCTTAAGTTTTCACTCCGATGGTTTAAATCAAAGGAAATGGAAACCAAATAAATAGTTGGAGATTCATTTTAATTATTATTTACCTAGGCCAAGGGAGATTGGCAAAGGTAGATTAAACTTCTTTTGTTTGCAAAGACAGTAAAATTCAGGGGTTGGAAGCAATCGTCAGAAAGCCTTAGATCTAGAATGCAGTCTGCACCAAACACAAAGGACTAGACATGTTTGGTTTTCATTATTGTCTGAATGGAGAGATTATTCATGAATAGCATTTTTAAGTGACTAGTAGTGGTACTTTGTCGTTCTTATTGCAAGTTTTTGTTGTGGCTATGGCGAACATAAGCTCAGTAATCAACTTCATCCTCTGCAGAACTATCTTATTTCTGCAACACTCTAGTTATACTCTCAAAATATTATGTGTGATAGTGAATACATTACGATTGCTGTATCATTGAGTTCCACAAAACAACATTATAATATGACAGAGTTATACCATTATGCTAATGTGCCAAAGTTCCACATGGGAAGAAAGGGCAACTGAGAGGTTGAGCCACAGCATGATACTCAGCATTCACTTTTACCAGACAATGGATACGTATTTGTTGTTCTCCTGTTGACCCAGTCAGACTAAATAATAATGTAAATTTACAAAATACCTTGCTGCATTGACTGTGAGTTGATTCAACTAACTACTTAGGTCAGTCAGTCAATGGGATAAGTAGTTCGTGATTGGTAGTCAGATTGTCAGAACATAAGAATTTAGTAGCTAAGTGCAGAATTATTTACCCTGTGAAGATAAGTGATTTAGAAAGAGAAAAACTCAACAACTTCACTTCGCGTATTGACACACAATTAGCCACACAAAACAGGGGTGGGACAGTTGAAATTCTAAAAAGAAATATGCATAGATGGCAAGAGGGGGAGAGGGAGAGAGGTTGAACATTGACTGAATCTTTGTTCAACGAATAATCTACACCTAACATAAGACATGTGATAGGAATGACTCATCACTAACACCAGGGATATGGGGAATATTACCACTGCTGCTACCGCTAGCAATCATAAAATCGATAGGTGAATGGAATTATATATAAATGAAGTGAGAAAGTTGTGTGAACATTACGTTGGTATGATTTTGAGCAGTATTAGTGAATTGTTGTTCTCGAAATGTGGTCATGAATAAAAATTACTGTATAACATGCCATGAGACTTTATCAAAATAAATTTTCTCCATATTAGAAAGTGACAACATGCCCTATAATATGATCTTCTTCATTGGCTTTAAGATAAAGGATGCAACATCTTGGGGGGAGGGGGGGCTGATATATACTGTGCCGTTCACATACACAAATATAAACTCCTCCGGCCAGGCTGATTGAGGAAATTTTTCATCTCACTTTGGAAATCTTGTTGAGTAAACTTCCAACTTATTAAGTGATTATTGATATAAATTGTGTTTTTTGAGGACTGTTCATTCACTGGTACCGCTACTGAATGACTGATGAAAATACCGCCAGATTCAGTAACAACGACTAAAATAGGGTGGGGTTGGCTTTTCGATTTACTTCCAAGAATCGAAAATTATTACCCACCCAATAGAAAATAAATAGAGAATGATTGGTAAAATAATGGGTAAAATTTTGGACAAATGCTGAGGAAGGCATTAAAAATGTTTAAGGATAGTCAAAAATAGTGAGCATGGGTGAATTTAGAAAAAAATTGATAAGAAGATTCAAATTCAGAATTATTGGTTCATGACTGAAGGTTCGAGGTTTATGGTAATCCTTTTCTGATAAATTTTTGTGTTTCTCTAATCACTTCTTGTGTGAGTCAATCGAAAGCGCTGACACCACTTTTTCTGGGAGTCAATTTCAGCAGTTTGTGACTCAATGTGAGCACCACTACTGTATTACAGTGTGACTTTGTCAAATAAATTTACTCTATGTGAAGGAATGATACTCCACCACATAGGCTAAGTCCTATTGGGATTCGAAGTCAGGGCCAGTGGGTTTGTAGACCATTAAGCTACTGGCACCCGCTAATCTTATAGCCAGCCGATGAATTCTAACTTTTGCTATTCAGAAGTCACGTCTTCTTCTGTTTCTTCTTTGCAACTATGCATGTTACTTGTATTGATTCTGTATTTCTCTATTTTGCTGTTTGTTGTAGATTATTGATCAGATCCGAGATTTGCCTACATTTCTATACGGTTTTATACAATTATTATTCAGCGGGGAAGGTACTTTTGCGCTAATGCAAATACGTTTAACGCTAATGGGTTTATGTGTTCTGTTTTATCTGATTACACCATTCGATTTTATCCCAGATGTTGTTGCCGGTTTCTTGGGCATTTTAGATGATATCATTGTATTGTGTATTTTTGCTCTACATGTTATTTCTGTTTATCGGAGTATCTCTTCAAGACGAGAAATGAACGCTAGGTAGGTAGGTAGGCAGGCGAAACACAGCGCGCGCTTATAACGGTGCAGTTGTTGTTGTTTTGTTTTTTTGTGTGTTTTTTATAATAAATTTCGCCTTTGTATATATCAGTGTGTATTCCAAATGCCGACTAATTTTCGATGCTTTGATGATTCAATTGTTGTCAGCCTTCTCTGTCTTTCTCTCTCTCTGTATCCATGACTACTTCACTGTTTAAATGCTTGTGTCAAGCTTACTGCTCCATTTAAAATATAGTTGACTTTTTGTTGGTGTAATAAAGTTTAATACATATATAGATGATATCCTACTCTTTCGTTTTGTGTTGTAGTCATTGTGTGATAAGTCTGTCAATATGAAATGCACGAGGATGCGGCTACAGAACTACTGGATTGCCCTGCATCGACTGGTTGAGCATGTTGAAGACCACTTCACACATATTTGAGAAGTTTTATCAGTCAACAAGCTTGTAGAATTCTCAGAATTTCGTATAATCCCGCATCTGTCTGTCTGTTTTCGACATAGAACTTTGCACAAATGTGCGGAAGTTCAAGTCGCCACATTCCGTGTAGCACGCGAAGCAAGAGAAGAAAGTACAAGAAAAGCATAATAGAAACAGTGAGCAGAGGTGTGAGACAAAGGAGTAATAAAGAATAACAAAACAGTTTCATTGAAGATCATAAGTCACAGGGAGTGGATGCATCTGCGCCACTGAGAACGGTTTTGAGCCATGTCACCAATTGTTTCCAACCATAGATTTTTACCGTCCCGAGGACCCCAGCCTGGAAGTCTACACCTTTCTACGTGGCTAAGACCAACTGTTGTGGATTTCATTGACTGATGCCAAGTTTTTGTTTGACCGCCGCTAGCTTTTTTCCAGCCTGACCCTATATCCGCTAACATAGCTCGTCGAGGGAGGCGATGACTTGGCATACGTAACACATGTCCTAACCATCTCAGTCGATGTAGCTTCACGACTTCGTCGATTGATTTCTCCTGTTTACCTGGAACTCTACGCCTAATTTCCATGTTGCTCACCTTATTATGCCACTTTACACGGGAAATAGAACGCAGGCACCTATGATCAAAGGCAGCATCTAATTCTCTCGACAACAACACCAACAGAATGAATACGTTACAGGGTACAAGTACACATAACCAAAATTGATAACAATAGCAACTTCTGACATTAGCAGAAACAGTAGGCTGAAAATGACGAGCAAATGTCAGATGATAAGAATAATATCAATAGTAAAACTACAAGATAATGGGGATAGTGAGTGTCAGGATACAATTACAAATATGGGAGAATAATTGAGTCATTCTAGTTACACAGGAAGTCGTAAGTTTCACGTTTGATACTATCTCTATCACATAGAACGCGTGTAAGTGGGCTAAATACGGTATGGTTGAGTGAGCATATAATCTTTATGATAACTTCTAGTCCCGTCAGATGAAATGGAAGTCGTGGAGGCAATATTGTGAATAGGGTGGGTGTTGAGGGTGATCAGACAATATCGATTTAGACCGTTTCTCACATGAGTTCAGGTGTCTGTGGACTACTGTGGAGTAGAAAGATGACTAAGTGGTGGCACACAACTTACCCTACTGACAATCTTGAATACCCTTCGCAATCTGACATAGTCCTTTTCGAGTAGTCCAGGAAAGGCTGAGGTCTGGGTGGGTGGAACGATAAAATGTGGTAGGTAAGATGCAAGAGTTAACAAATTGTAAAAGTAGAGGTTGAGTGATTCCAGACTGTTTTAACTTCTTAATGTATAAGGTGGTTGGACTGTGCCGTTCACATACACAAATATAAACTCTCCGGCGAGGGTGATTGAGGAAATTTTTCATCTCACTTTGAAAAATGGTAGGATTAATTCGTCATGCCAAAATTCATATTTCTGGCCTTCTTTTTTAACCTTCCTAGAGTGCATGATTCCCTCTTAGACAAGGACTCGCCGTGTATGGAAGAAGTATTCCAGTCTTTACCTCACCAGATATGTATATATGAAGACGTGAATATATCTCTGGGGATTCTAGGGAAGGCTCTACAAATTGCCCTTAAAAATTTAAAGTGCTTGCTGCCACCGCGCGACAGTGTGCTGTAGATTCTAAGTCGTGACTTATTAGGACACTTAGATCTATATGAATCTGAACTGATGGGATCAGTATTCTCTCTGTTTCGTATGGGCTACTTTGGTTGGTAACATCCATTTACTACATTATTCTTACAATCTGTTGAGATCCTCTTGTAACGTGAGCATGTCATTATTGTACGAATTTTTAAGTCATCTACATAGGGGTATCGGTGAGTACAGGTAGCTGATTTATATTCATAATGAATAACAGTAACTCGAGTACACGCGATACGAGGATCTTCTGTCCTCTGTAGAAAGTTTGGGAAAATTGTGCCTTGTGGCATTCCACAATATAGAGCTGTCCAGGAGGAGTGCTTATGGGAATCTCTATGGGGACAAGAAATAATTCTTTACTATTACTTATGGCGTAAAACATAACTATTAGAATAAAGTTTATGCGTTTTATAGCATTACTTGAATGTCGTTCCTGAATAAAACGTTGGCGGAATTTCGAGGTTTTTTGGGATGATTTTAGGACAACACAATGCAAAAAATTTGGCGAAATGAATCATTTCCCCCGAAATTTATCCCAAACCCAACTTTCTCCCCAAAATTTTTTTTTGACTTTCTTCTTCACACACCCTTGGACGAGGACTGGTAATTTTCTGAAAATGTTAAGTATGGAGGAAATCATAGGTGCAAAGAGGACAAAATATTAGCTCATTTATGGCGAAAACCCGCAAGAGAGTAGTTAAGTAAGTGGCTGGGGGGCGGCGAATCCCTCCTTAATTTAAGTGGGAAAATGATGATGTGACTAAATGCAATCAAATGAACGAGTAAAATATGAGAAAATGGGGAATGTTATGTCAAACAGCTATTATTCACCCATTGTTATCATCTGTGTCACCAGTTGAAATGAAGCCGTCGCTTATTTGCTATAGACCTGTCTCTAATTGGTATGATCCCGTCAACAGCTGATATGAACGAGTGCACTCATGCGCGGGTATAATAATAGTGACGCAATAATCAACTCAACTGATATGCTAAGTAACGCTTATTCATCTTTGGTTCCTTCCGGTTGACTGAGTCACGTAAATATCGAAAGACAAAGACTAATCTGTGAGTGTTTATACATATTTCTCTAACCACATTAAAATCTACCTAAGATCGTAGAAAACCGATTGGTAGGTGGTTCGGCGAGAAATAAACATTCTGATTGATTGTCGAGTGATTGGATCGAGATCAAGCTGTCAGAAAAAGATGATGAGATTTTACAGTTACACGATGAATCATAAGATGATTCCTATTCTTAGCTGATAACTACCATTCTCTCAGACTCGTCTCAACTGAAATAAGTTTTGTTCAAAACGTTCACGTAATCGAATGTATCCTCTAGTGGGGGATTTTTTCTAGGCAACTGTGCTACTGCCGTGTCGAAATAAACAATCAAGATGTATTTTTGTCAGATGGTTGGAGGCAGTCGGCAGGAAGCCCTCCATCAACCTTGGTTTCGTGCTTGTTGGCACTCAGTAGTCAGCAAGGCGTAACTGCACTCTTGAAAGAACTCATGTCCCCAGTGAGATTCGAACTGATTTCACCCAGTGAGTGCTGCAATCAGAGACGTTAGCATCTAATAACAGTAATCCTGAGTATACTGTGATGGCTAGCCACCTAGCATGGTGACCACATTTTAAACTTGACTGCAGTAAACAAACGACTAGACACCTGACACTAGTTAGTTCCCAATCAGATGTACAAGACAGCCATTTTAAAATATCAAATTAAAATCGCATCACCGAGTGTAAATGAGATTGTTTTATCTGAATGTGGTACGACATGCTTGTACAAAAGTGAGTGAACATTTGCATTTTATTTATTAAGGCTGAATTTCCCCTTCTCATTTGCCTAATCTGGTTTGAAATTATTACAGTCCAATTTTGTTCGGCATACGTGCATCTGAGTTACGTGGAAAGCCTGAGTCTGAGCACTGAGAGCAGCTGAGTGAGCTGAATACGGAACTTGAGAACCTTCGTCGTTATCGTGGGATGTGTGGTACACCCACCAATGGGAAGTTGAGAAAGATCCGAGCTCTTCGCAAGTCTATTGCACGCGTTTTAAATATCTGTAGTGAATCAAGCTCGAAAGCTACGTCGAAAAGAAGCTAATATCTCTGAATGACACATTCCTAAGGATCTGAGATGGAAGAAGACAAGAACAATTCAAAGAAGGCTCACGAAGAAAGAGCAGTCCATTCATATGGTGAAGTGAGGACATTCAGCTCCATTTGATCGAGAGTCCTTCAAAGTCATATACAAAATCTGATCAATCCTCTATCTCTTGCGAAGAGTTTGAGATCGAGTCATCTGGATGCGAATAGCTAGAGGAGGCATTAGCGATCCAAAACTTCAGGCCCATGCTACTATGTATGCAAAGGAGATGCGTCGAGTCATTGTCCCTATCAGGCCATGGCCACCACAAATAGTCAGTCCCATCAATAATGATTATCCTATTATTTTTCTGATCCAATCTTCCTGATAATTTCTGTTATTTTCACGGTTTTGTTTTTAATTTCTATTTGTACTACCAGGTTTGTCATTTATCCGCACTACTTACCCCATTTTGTTCGTATTACACGTTTAATCCTTTATTGCACAAAACAGTCAATCTTCTCAGTAATCATGATCTTATAATGTTCTTTTCTCATCCTATCATCGGGTTTATTACACTTTGTAATTTCCTTAATTTGACCTTTGACCGACCGGAAACAGTTATGGAACTTTAATTAAATGCATATACATGAGTGTTTGTTGGCTTGTGTGCTGCGTTCACTTGAAATTGTCGTGGTATTACAGCCGTTTACCAGAGACATTCTTTAGATATGGTAGAGGGAACTTTGTTTCGGTCTTTCACTTGGTTTTTTATTGTTAT